GGCTTGGTTCCTCTTTGAAGCCTACAGCAACAGAGGATGAATTGAAAGAGGAATTGGTAAGCAAAGAAGAACCAGTACTAGTCAGGCAGCGACTCGGGAGGCTGAGGCAGGAGGATCACAGTTTGAGGACAGCCTCAGCAACTTAGTAAGACCTCGTCTCAAAAAAAAAAAAAAAAAAAGGACTGGGGTGTAGTATAGATCAGTGATAAAGTGGGTTCAATCCTCAGTACTGGAATGCAAATATCTACCTGATGCCTGTCCTACCACTGTATTTTAGAAGCACATAACTCTTCCGTTTTCACAGGCTCACAGCTAGAGAGGAATTCTACCTCAGGGTGAACTCTAACTTAAGTCTACCAACACATTTAGATGAGACTTTAAATTAGAATTTAGAATTGATACTGGAACCAGATAAATCTTTTGAGGTAACTATGATCTAATAGATGTGTTTTGCATGTAAAAAGAATTTGAATTTGGGGAGGGCCAGGGGCAGAGGCTAAGGCCTGAACTATGTCCCCCTAAAATTCATATTGAACCCTTAACATACAACATAACTGTATTTGCAGAATAGGCTTCTAAGTAAGTAAGTAAGGTTAAATGTTAAATAAAATGAGGGTCATAAAGATGGGACCTTGATCCTTCAGGATTAGTGTCCTTGTAAGTAGAGACAACATGCACATGCACTCTCACTCACTTTCATGCTGTCTCTCTTTCCCCTTCTCTCTCACTCACAGTCAGTCTCCCCCCGCCCACCACATGAGGTGACTGTGAGCCAGGAAGAACGATTTTGCCAGCAAGCAAATCATCCTGAACCTTTAGGTTGGATTTCTAGCCTCCACAACTGTAAGAAAATAAAAATTTGTTGTTAAGCCATCCAATCTATAGCATTTTTATTATGGTAGCTTAAACTAACATATCTACAAATGACTATAAAGCATTGGTAGTATTGATTTGGGGGTTACAAATAAATCTTAGCAACCAAGCAAATTTACATTTATATACTTTGTCAGTATGGGGTACATACACGCCTATAAATCCAGCAACTTGGGAGGTTGAAGTAGAAGAATCATAAATTCAAGCCCAGCCTGGGCAACTCAGTGAAACCTTCTCAAAATAAATAAAAAAGAGTTGGAGAGCGTTTGCCTCACATGCATGAGGCACTGGGTTCAATCCTCAGCACCACATAAAGTTAGTAAATAAATAAAGACATTGGGTCCATCTACAACTTAAAATAAATAAATAAATAAAAAGAAAAGAGTTGGGAATGTAACTCAATGGTAGAATGTCCCTGGGTTCAATCTCCAGTAGGGGGCAGGTGGAATCTGTGAATAATGAAAATTAAGTTATTTAATGCTGAAATGAAAACTTTTCCCCAAGATCAGTAATAAGACAAGAATGTTCACTTTCATCAGTTAGTCAACATTACACTGGAAGTCTAGCTAGAGCAATAAAGCAAAATAAAAAATAAATATAAGCATCCAAATTGGAAAGTAAGAAGTAGGGCTGGGGTGTAGCTCAGTGGTAGAACACTTGTCTAACATGTGTAAGGCCCTGGGTCCCATCCCAACACTGCTAACTAAACAAAACGAGCATTGTGATAATGGCAAAAGAAGAGATATGTAGATTATAAGAACCAAGAAATAAACTCAACTTTATAGTCCCTTGATATTTCAATTTTAAAATTATTTTAAAAATAAATAATAATAAATAAAATTATTTAAACTTCAAAACTACCGTATATACACACATATACATAAGTAGTTTTGAAACTGAAATTTGAATAGTATATACGTATATACAAAATAAACATAAATGTATATAAATATATTATAGGACAGGGAAAGAAGAGATATTCTTTTTTGATTTTAATTTTATGCTACCATACTTCATAGTTATTTTTCATACTTATCAAACATATCCAAAGATAGTTAGTTAGTTATATTTCAGTTGTTTGACTCATACCTTTGAATGACCTGAAAGGAAATCTGGAAGAAGATAAACTTGCGCCAGTAGTTCTGTATAATCATGACAACGAAAATAGTAAATATGGGAAAGAATATTTTCAAGAGTGAAGTCCTTCAAAGCTCTTTGGTGTTCTGAAGAAAAACAAAACAGCATCTTACTAAGTTTTACTCGTATGGATATGCTGATGATTGTAGGAAAATAATACCTTTGTGTGTGGGAGGGGACTTTACTGGGGATTGAACCCAGGAACATTCTACCACTGAATTAAATCCTTAGTCCTTTATATTTTTTATTTTGAGATGCACCTGCTAAGTTGTGTAGGCTGACCTCAAAAAACTTGCAATCCTCTTGCCTCAGCCTAACAAGATACTGGTAATAAAAGAATACACCAGCACATCTGGCTAGAAAAAGTGTTTTTTCCTACTACTTTCCCAAGTTCTCTGGCTGAAATAAACTAGACTGACAAAGACAGTTTAACATTAGAAAAACAAAAATTGAATAACATATGCATCCCATATATAACAAATGGGAGTCCAAAGATTAGTATCTCAAAAACTTGGTTAGAATTTTGGCTCATTTTACCAAAGGAACAATAAATTCTTAGAGAAGTGAAAAGACAAAGGAAAAGGACCTTGAGTCTCTAGAGCTAGCAAATTGTAGGAAGGCAAATATATGAGAAATTAATGGAAGATAAAAACTAGCTAATGAAGGGCTGGACTGGGGCTCAGTGGTAGAGCGCTTGCCTAGCATGCGTGAGGCACTGGGTTTGATCCCCAGCATCCCATTAAAAAAATAAAAAAATAAAAAATAAATAAACAAAATAAAGGTATTGTGTCTATCTACACCTAAAAATATTTTTAAAATTAAAAAAAAATAAAAAGACTAGCTAATGAAGTTTGTTACTTAGATCCTCTATTGGCTGATTCCTCCATGCTGACAGAGTCTAAAATTGTCTCTGGTGATTACTTTTTGTCTTTCCTTGGCAGAGAGGGGAGAGAAAACACCTTAGCACATTTGTGTTGTTTTTATGAAAACACGGACAAGGTAGAAAGCTTTCCTTTATATTTTTTCTCAATTGCCTTCAGCTCAAAATAAACCTTTTGCCAAAATCGCATATTTGGGGGTAACATGTTCTGCCAGTGTACAATGTCTTTTAGTAGATGTTAATGGTAATTAATTAAGACACTTAGTACCTACATGAAAACGAAAATATACAGCTAATTATACTTGCTCAATGGAAGTACAAGCATCTTATGAAAAGCATCCCTTTCGTAAACTTCTAGAGAAAAATATAAGGACTGCAAATGCCTATAATTCCACCTACTTGGGAGGCTGAGGCAGGTGTATAAAATTAAGGTCAGCCTGGGCAACTTAAGGACATCTGTCTCAAAAAATACAAGCCAGGTACAGTGGTGCATGCCTATAATCCCAGCGGCTAGGGAGGCTGAGGCAGAAGGAGCTCAAGTTCAAAGCCAGCTTCGACAAGAGCAAGGTGCTAAGCAATTCAATGAGACCCTATCTCTAAACAAAATACAAAATAGGGCTGGATATGTGGCTCAGAAGTTGAGTGCCCTGAGTTCGGATTCCCAGTACCAAAAATAAATAAAAATTTAAAAATAAACAAATAAAAAAGACAAAGTGCAGGGTATGTGGCTAAGTGGTAGAGTGCCCCTAGCTTCAATCCCCAGTCCTACAAACAAACAGAAATATAAATAAATAAAAATAAAGGGCTCCGGATGTTGCTCAGTGGAAGAGCATTTTCCCAGGATGTGAGAGGCCGTAGATTCAATACCCAGTACCACACTTACAAAAATAAATAAATACGATGAAGATAAAAAGAAAGCAAAAGAAAACAGTCAAACTACTCACTTGTTTTTATATAATAATTAAAAAGATAAGAATGGGGGCTGGGGTTGTGACTCAGTGATAGAGCGCTTGCCTAGCATGTTTAGGCACTGGGTTTGATTCTCAGCACCACATATATATAAAGTCCATTGACAACTTAAAAAATTTTAAAAAAGAGATAAGAATGGGATCCTAATTGGAATAAGTTATAATCCATGTTTGTATAATGTCAAAATGTAATCTACTGTCATATATATGTAAAAAGAACAATTAAAAAAAAGTAACTGAAAGGACAAGAACTTGCATATAAACTATCTTTTTAAAAAATCCTTTTTAATCTAATAAATACCCCCTAAAAGCCTCCCAAATTCTTAAATGATACAATTAATATAGTTATAAAGTAAATTATATACTATTCAAAGCCCCCAAAGGTCAATCAGCTTAACATTCTGAACATTTCTAGATGTAGATTTCAAAGCATTTGGTTATTGGAAAACCAGTGTGGAAGTCAACATATACTGAATGTACATAACAACATTCACTCATAATACGATGTCCACATTAGCTTATATCTGGCCAGTTGGAATATGATGTTTTAAAGTCATACACTGAAATACATGCATTGGTTTGCCCCAGAATTACTACAATGAGGTCCATAGAAGGGGAAGAAAAAGCCAGTTCCAGCTATAGTGCTTGTAACAGATGCAAGAGCATTTGACATTAATACACTGTTAAACCATTAAGCTTCACATTCAGAATGGTCTCTTGCTGAGTTCTGAGATGAGCGCAAATGCAAACAACCTTCATTACACAGAAAGAAAGAGGATCATTTGTTAACTTACCTTCTTCCATGTGTGTTCCTGCTATAAGATGAAGATGCTGAATGCAGGCAGTAGCAAGGTCTACCACTCTGTCAACCATAAAGCTTCCCTCTGTATCAATAAAAACTGCTTCACCTGCCACTCCTCCAAAACATTCTGGTATCTGCACATCAATTGCCAACTGCATACTGTCAAGAAATAAGTTATCATGATCATCTACTGCAGTGTTTTTCGAACTCCAGGTAATGACCAGTTAGGTACCACTAAAGTTTTATAAATGCAAATACACTCCCCAAGCAAAAGAGATGGCTGACTCTCTGTGGACCAGATGATTGTGAATCAACTGATGCTTGGATTAGGGAAAGACTGTGCCTATAAAACCAAGATTAAGAAATTTTTAATGCTTTCTAGGCTTCTGGAAATAGAAACCTATCTTATGCATAAATCCACTTTCAAACATTTCACTTTCCAATATATTCTCAGGAGTGAATTAATAACAGAAGACTGCCTAGTGACCACATCATATTGCAAAGGAAACATTTTTGATACCAAAATAACTGTTTCAATTTATCAAGATATGGTACTGAAGTAATATAAATGGTAAACTGGGTTTTGTTCTATGCACACACACACATACAAAATTAAGAGCACACCTTTTATGGTTTCTTGACTGTAAACACACAGCACACCACACTCTACTACTTACATAAAATGTTATTAAACCTGCCCTTAAAAGGGGAACATCTTACTTTACCATAATTGTGTTTTTCCAACACCTGGTGCACCACAAATTTCCGTTGTTTTCATTAAGGGTACTCCACCGCCAAGAATATTATCTAGTGCAGAACAGAAGGTAATAATGAAGCCCTGGGTTTGCTCCTGCTCGAGAAGTTCCAGTGCTGTACACTTCCTGCCTGACTCTGGCGCACCAGCATATTTTGGTTTATTTGTGAGACACTCTCTTCTTATAATCTGCAGAGTTTCTAAAGCCTCCTCTTTAGATATTCCAACTTCTGAAAGTAAAATAACAAATAAACCATTGATTTTAGAGATTCAAAAAACAAACACAATTATGGGTTGTCTTCATTAATTTTTTTGGATAACATGAGTGATAGTAAAGTCAGGTCCAGTGGCACACGCCTGTAATCCCAGCCACTTGGGAGGCTGAAACGAGGGGCACCAAGTTCAAGGCCAGCGGAGGCTGTGTCTCAAAAGGGCAGACGGAGGATGTGGCTCAATGGTAGAGCACCAATCAGAAGTTCAATCCCCAGTATGTGTGTGTGTGTGTTGGGGGGGGGGGTCCACAAACACGGTTTTCCCAACCATCCAGTGAACAACTGTTCTTTGTTTTGGTTTCTTGTGCGTGAGCGCGTGTGTGTATGTGTGTGTTGCTGCCCCACGATTACTGAGCTACATCCTGGGCCCCTTCGGACGAATTTCAAGTGGCCTCAAGGAATTCTTTCACTTTTTAAACGAGGCCGCGGGAGGCAGCACGCAGACAGTGACTGAACTGAAGCCTGAGAGCTGGAGAAAGTAGACTGAGGTAGCGGGGGCGAGAGCGGACCCCGTACCTAAGCTTGCCGTCAGCAGTCCTTACCTTTGCTGAGTTCGGAGGGTTTCACCTCCAGGAGTTCCTCAGCATTCTGGAAACCTGCAGACACCAGCTTCACCCGTACTGCAGGAGACAGCGGGAAACTCACCAAATCCCGCTGCATTTCAAAGCGGAACGTCTCTGTACACTACAGCGCAGACCCCACCCCTGTAGCTAAGTCCGGGAGACCAAAACTCCGCACTCCCGCGCCCGGGCTGTGACGTCAACCGTAAAGCGGAAGGGGCGGGGTCTGCGGCCTGACTGCACGAGGCTTTAGCTTTGCGACTGTGGGGAGTATGTGTTTTCTTTCACACCTCCCAGGCTTCCGATGTGACTCCTTCATATACCGTTGAGGGTTTCTCCATTTAATGTACACGGTGACAATAAAAAGATGGATGGCCTCCATCTTAGGAATGGAGAGCTTGGCACAGCAGGCCCTACACATCACATTGTCTCTGAACTGTCCTGTTGAGTGGAAGCCTCAGTCATTAAGAGGAATTAATTCCCTGAGTGGGGATAGTGGGAGCAATAAAAGAACACAGGCCAATTAACCAATTTTTTGGTGTGACAAGCCCAGGAAGCAGTCATATAAGGATTAATCTATGCTTATTATAGTATTCCAGCCCCTTGACTCTTCTCGCTAGCCGTCCCCCCTTTTCTGCCCCCCCTCTTTGCTTTTCCCGCCCTCGCGAGGGATTGTGGGCCAGACCCCCCACCTCCGCGGGGAGACTCAGTCCAATCCCCGCACCCACGCACGCCTTCCCGCGAGTCAACCCTGGAGCATGGAGGCTTCTGAGACCGTTAGCACTTCACCGCCTGCTTAGCTTGAGAAAAGTAAGCATGTAATGACCTATAGTGGACTGGCCTCTGCTCCTAGTGTCCTGAGCGGGTGGGGGTGGGGGTTCGACTCCCAGTAAAGTTGCAAAGGGTGTTGAAGGCCTGGAAATGACCGCTTCTAAAACACAAAATTTAGGGGGAATTGGGAGCTGGTTTGGAAGGTGGTTTTTGAGGTCATTTTTTCCCTAGGAATTATGATTTATTTAGGGGAGTAATTTATACCCTACTTTTTGGCCACGATTTTTTTTTTTGGGGGGGTGGTGGATTGAAGCCAGGGGCCCTGTATCTCTGACTGATATCCCCAGCTCTTTTTGAGCTTCGCTGAAATGCTGAGGCTGACCCATCAGACTAGGAATCCTCCTGCCTCAGCTTCCCAAGTCGCTGAGATTACAATTACAGGCATACGCCACTGCGCCCAGCCTTGGCAACGACCCTACCCTTGATTTTTCTTCCCAGCTTAAAGGAATTTTTTAAATATCATGAAATAGGACTAAGGAACAACATTCTGCTGAGCACTGTAACAAATCCCATACATTTCAAATGCTCATAGCCATGCCATGAGGAAGACTAGGACGTAGAAACTCAGCAGGTTTCTTCAAGCCAAAATTCAACCTAGAACACTCTTTGTTACCTCGAGTTACCACCAAATTGTAGACCTCTTTTGAGAGGGGAGGATTTCAGAAATTCCTAACTTGGTAGGGTAGGGAAAGTTTGGTAGAGATAGTCAAAATGTGGTTGGTATAAGTACATTGCTTAACATTGGTTTTTTGGGGCGGGAGGCGGGGAGCCAGGAGCAAGGGCATAGGAATTGAACTCTGGGACACTCGACCACTGAGCCACATTCCCCAGCCCTATTTTATATTTGATTTAGAGACAGTGTCTCACTGATTAACTTATGATTTACATCTGGTACTCAGTGGCATTATCTAAATATTGTCCTCTTGAGAATTCACACTTATTTTTGTAAAGCAATCAGGTTCTTGGGTGAAGAAGACAGTGTTACCTTAGTCAGCAATAATTCTTTCAGTTTGGTGAAACACAGTGGAATTGGTCATGTTTAGAATTTCGTTTCATCTGCAGGGAGAGTTAAGAAACTAGTCAAGTGCTAGGGATATATAGCTCAGTGGTAGAATACTTGCCTTGCATGTACAAGGCTCTGGGTTCAATTCCCAATACTACCAAGAAAAGAAAAGGAAAAAGAAACTAGTGGACTCCATATGAAGCTACACAATTAGCTGCTATTAGTATTTTCCAACCCTGCCTCGACTTGCCTATAATAATTACCATTTTTATCATCATTCTGTAGTAGCTGTAGTCCCAGCTACTTGGGAAGATGACTTGAGCTCTGGAGTTTGAAACCAGCCTGGACAGCATAGTAAGATCTCTCTCAAAAAGAAAAAAGAAAGAAAGCTTGGGATGTTGCTCAGTGTTTAAGTACCACAGGGTTCCATCCTGGTACAAACAAGCAAACAAAAACTATGGTTCTGATGATTCTTAATCCTTATGCTTATTCAAATACAGTCTTTTGCTTAATCTATATGTTGCAAATATCTTCCCACTTTGCCATGTGTGTTTAAATTTTGTTTTATGAGGGATTTTTGTTTTGTTTTGTACTTTAGAGAGATTTACTCTATGTAACCTAGTCAAATTTTGTATTTAATCTTGATTTTGGTAACATGCTTAGAAAGTCTCTTCAAAATTAGAAACATGGCCATACCCAATGGTACACATCTGTAATCCCAGCTTTCTGGAGGCTAAGACAGGAGGATCACAAGTTTGAGGTTAGCCTGGGTAACTTAGTGAGACCCTGTCTCCCAAACTAAAATATATAAAGGACTGGAGAATGATCTTAGTGATAGCATGCTTGAGGCCCCAGTTTCAATCTCCAGCACTAAAAAAAATAAAAAGAAAGAAATTATAAGCATAATTTTTTAGTATATGACATTTCAATTTACATTTGAATATTTTAATTTGATTTTTTTAAAGAGAGTGGGAGAGAGAGAGAGAGAGAGAATTTTTCAATATTTATTTTTTTTAGTTATTGGCGTACACAACATCTTTGTTTTGTATGTGGTGCTGAGGATTGAATCCGGGCTGCACGCATGCCAGGCGTGCGCGCTACTGCTTGAGCCACATCCCCAGCCCTCCTTTTATA